AATCGTTACTTTAACATCTGAGATTTAGATTTTACATGCAATAATTTTTAAATCAAGATTTAGTACATAATGCAGCACATGGATTATAAACCTATTACTCAAACACACCATCCTGCTTTGCCACACCAACCATAATGGCTTCTAACAGTATTCAATGAGTCTCTCACTTAGACTGCCAAATTTGATTTGGAACATGGGTGACAACTAATGGACATTACATTCCATGTAATGCTGCCCACAGATGCAAGCAGGTAACCAATGGAGATACAGTGGTCAACCACCACAATGCGCTTTCTATATTTCAACCCAAAACATTGAAAAGTCAGGGGAGCAAGGGGTGGAAAACATTCATTGTCTCCCAGATTCTTCTATGTTCATGACGTTTCAATCTAATTTAAAAAAATTAGTTTGTAGCCCTTATGGTTGCAAAGACACTTCACAATGTGTTAACTGATGCATGGTTGTCTCAGCCTGCAGGAAGACAGACAAACAACAGCACCAAGTGTGAACTTCCCTATTCATCTTAATGAGGTGTAAACTTTGTAGCCTAATTATGGCCACTTAAATACCAGGACATTGTTTACCATATCAAAGTTTTCAGAGTAGCAGCGTGTTAGTCTGTATTCGCAAAAAGAACAGGAGTACTTGTGGCACCTTAGAGACTAACAAATTTATTTCAGCATAAGCTTTCGTGAGCTGCAGCTCACTTCACTGGATCACAGTTGATTATCCTACCAGAAAACTTAACTATATAATTTCTAACAGATTGCACACACACACACCCCCGCAAAAGAAAAATCACACAGCCAATATGTTTACCCATTTATGGCTGGATATACAAGTTTCTCCCAATCATTAAAATTCCTCTGAAAGGTTATTCCACAAGAATTTTGAATATGCAAGATACCTGAATTTCTTTTTGATCACTCAAGGTGCCTGCTACAATCTTGCATAATGACAGGTTTCAGAGGAACAGCCGTGTTAGTCTGTATTCGCAAAAAGAAAAGGAGTACTTGTGGCACCTTAGAGACTAACCAATTTATTTGAGCATAGCTCATGCTCAAATAAATTGGTTAGTCTCTAAGGTGCCACAAGTACTCCTTTTCTTTTTGCTACAATCTGTTAATCAGTAAGTAACCCACACTTCTACCCTATCTGTTAAGGCAGTGGTTCTCAACCAGGGGCATGCATAAGCCTGGGGGGGTACACAGAGGTCTTCCAAGGGGTACCTCAACTCATCTAGATATTCGCCTAGTTTTACAACAGGCTACATAAAAAGCACTAGCAAAATCAGTACAAACTAAACTTTCATAGAGATAATGACTTGTTTATACTGCTCTATATACGATATACTGAAAGGTAAGTAAAATATAAATATTTCACTTGATTTATTTTATAATTATATGGTAAAAATGAGAAAAGCTATTTTTCAGTAATAGTGTGATACTTTCACATTTTTGTCTGATTTTGTAAGCAAATCATTTTTAAGGGATGTGGAACTTGGGGGTATGCAAGACAAATCAAACTCCTGAAAAGGGTACAGTAGTCTGGAAAGTTTGAGAACTACTGTGGTAAAGGATGAGACCCTGGTGTGGGCCTCAGGCTATAATATGTCTCCATTACATGTGATCCAACAGCAGTTCAGTTCAAGACAAAAACAGAGAATCATATAGCTGGAAGAGACCTCAACAGGCCACTTAGTCCAGCATCCCCCATGCAGATGTAGGACCAGGTATACTTACAGGTTAGACAAACACCTGTCAGGGATGGTTTACGACCTAAACCATCCCTGACAGGTGTTTTGTCTAACCAGTTCTTAAAAACCTCCAATGACAGGGATTCCACAACCTCTCTTAGAAGTCTATTCCAGTACTCAACTATCCTTAAAAGTATGAACATTTTTTCCTAATATCTTGCCTAAATTTCTCTTGCTGCAAATTACTTCTTGTCCTACCTTCAGTGGTCATGAAGAACAGTCAATCACCACCGTCTTTATAATAGCCTTTAACCTATCTGAAGAGTTATCAGATCCCCCCATAGTCTTCTTTTCTCAAGTCAAAAAAAAGGTAACGGTGTTAGGAGCTGTTAGGAAAGGGCTAGATAAAAAACCAGAAAATATCATAATGCCACTATATAAATCCATGACACCTTGAATACCGCATACAGTTCTGGCTGCCCCATCTGAAATAAGATATTTTAGAATTGGGAAAAGTACAGAGAAGAGCAGCAAAACTGATTAGGGGTATGGAACAGCTTCCACATGGAGAGATTACAAAGACTGGGACAGTTCAGATTGGCAAAGAGATGACTAAGAAAGGATGTGATAGAGGTCTATAAAACCATGACTGGTGTGGAGAAAGTAAATAAGGAAGTGTTATTTACCCTTTCACACAACACAAGAACCAGGGATCACCTGATGAAATTAATGGGAAGCAGGGCTTGAAACAAACATAAGGCAGTACTTCTTCACACAACACACAGTCAACCTCTGGAATTCCTTGCCAGTGGATGTTGTGAAGGCCAAATGTTATAACTGGGTTCAAAAAAGATTTAGAGAAGTTCGCGGAGGATAGGTCCATCAACGGCTATTAGCCAAGATAGTCAGGGATACAACTCAGTGCTCTGGGTGTCCGTAAGCCTCTGACTGCCAGAAACTGGGACTGAATGACAGGGGGATGGAATGGATGGAAGACTTAACATGGTCAGTTTGTTTGTTTTTTTTTAATCTTTCCTCATATGTCAGGTTTTCTAAACATTTTATCATTTTTGTTGCTCTTCTCTGGACTTTTTCCAATTTGGACACATCTTTCGTAAAGCATGGTGCCCCAAACCAGACACAACATCCAGCTAAGCCCTCATCAGTGCCGAGTACAGTGGGACAACTACCTCCTGCATCTTCCATAGGACATTCTCATTAATACGCACAGCAGTAGGGCACAAATATTTAAAACAGCTAACTGGGAACATAAAGCTACAAGGAGTAGAAGGGAATCTCAGAGGTTGAAGTAGAACCTCCAACCTTTAACACCAAAAAAACAGGCTGGATTTCAAATTGTCAGAGCTTCTTTAATGAGGTTTTGATCCTCATTTTGGGAAACGGGTTGCTAACTGAATTTTAGGAGGTCTGAATTTTACACCAAGGTAATATCCATATGTATAACATATTTGTTCATTACAAGAGATATAAAATGTCACAGAAAAAAAACCATTCTAAAACCAAGTTTTTGCCCAATTTTAAACACTTTAAATTGGATTATAAAAGATATGCTTTTAGTATTACTTTTCACAGTGTATATTGTCCCTCCATCTCCATGCAACACTTTCATCTTGAAGAATGCAAGTTCTCCAGTTCAGGGGCTACCAAACTTTTTGACAGGATAGATCACAGTTTAATTAACAGACTGTCCACAAGACACTCATACTCATTCACACTCAATCATAGAGATTACCAATAGGAGGGGAGTGGGCAATCACACACTACCACTGAGACAAAAGCATTTCATATATTTCTAGCTATTTTTAAAACACAATTTCTCAGCTAGAAACAAGAAGAGGACAGACAGCATTATATGACCAGCCAACTAGTCCTCTGCAGACCACTCCCAGCTCAGGATCACAGTTTGGAAACTACCCAGCTAATCATTTTCACTTTCTCATTCAGCAGCACAGAACTGCAATGTTTGTGCTGCAAACATTTCAGGGCAAAAATGTCTAAATATAAACAAGGACATTTCCATTAACACTGGGATTATATTTTAGAGCCTAAAAGCCTAAATTCAGGTCCTAGACGGTGCCAATTCCAGTACCACAATAGTACTACCCACATTTCCACTAAATACAAGCTTTTTGTGAACTAGTAAGATATTAAAAGTACACCACTGACCTATCTGCAGCTACCAAAAACAAAACAACCCTCCCCCCTCCGCAAAGACACAAACACGAACATCTCCTTTAACAGAGGAAAATCCTGCTGTAAATCGCTTACCAGCTCATTTACTATTCGCCGCATAAATAAATCCTCCATCATGTAACAACTGTTCACAAGCCCACTGACACCCCCCCCTCCCAGACCCAGTGCTTGCACAGGCCCCTCGAGAGACATCTGGGGCTTTGGCACATCATGTTCACCCACCCCCCACCCAGTTTGCTTTATTTTCACAAGACATTAACAGACATTTTTAAGGGGGGGCTCGCAACTGTGCCCCCCCCACAACCCCATGCTTGTCAATCCCGCCTCCTCCAACAGCCCCCCCATGCTCTCCCAGCCTAACCCCCCCACACACAACCCCATGCTTGCCATCCCTCCTCCACCAACAGCCCCCCCCACTGCTCTCCCAGCCTAACCCCCCCCCCCCACACACACACATACACACACACCCCCGGGGCAGATCTGAGGACTATCAGCTCCGCTCTCCCGGGGGCTGGACACTTCTCCCCGGGAAGCCTAGGGCAGCGGACCCCCCCCCGGCCCAGGAGAAGGGCGGCCGGGGGGGGGGAAGGGGGCGCTCCGAGCAGCCTGCGCAGTTAGCGGTACTAAAATAACAGCAGCGGCGAGGCACCCCCGAGACAAAGCGGGGAGGGGACGGGGGCCGAGGGAGGAGACGCGTCCCCCACGAACGGGCCCCCCCGCCCCGCCAGCCCGGGGCGGGTAGCGCCTGAGGGGGGCGCCCAGCCCCGCAGGGCGCAGGCTGGAGGGCCCCGGGCCCGAGCAGGGGGCGGGGGGAAGGGACGGGTCCCGGGCCGGGAGAAGCCCCAGCGCTGGGGGGAGAGAGGGAAAGGGGTGTCCGCGACCGAGCGAGGCCGGGCCGAGTCGCCCCGGCGGAGCGGCTGCTCCGAGGCAGCGGACGCCGGGGACGGGCCGGGTCCCGTGAGGGGGGGAGGCGGGACGGGGCGGGGCGAGAGCGTCGGCCCCGGCCGGGGGAGCCCGAGCCCCAGGCCGCTGAGGCCCGGCCCGGCCCGGCCGCTGAGGCGAATCCCCGTCCCCCCAGGCGGGGCCCTACCTGAGCCTGCGGCCGGTCTCCCGTCCCCGCACCGCCTCCTCGGCGGCCACCCCGCAGCTCCCAGCCAGCACAGCGCGGCCCGGGGGCGGGGGAGGGGGAGTAAAGCGGAAAGGGGGCCGAGGGTGGATACTGGCAATATCCCACCGCCAGCACCTACCTGCCGCCCGCCCCCTTCCCTCCCTCATTGGCCCAGGCCGCCCCCTACCTCCGCGCCCACTGGCGGCCCGGCTCGTGACGGGCAGCGGCGTCCCCCACTCCCCGGCCTCTCTGCCGAACAACAAGCCCACAGTGGAAGAGGCCGCTCGGGTACGGCCCGCCCACCCCTCGAGCCGAGCCAGGCAGGCCCATTGCCGGCGCTCACGCCACTCAGCGCCCTTCGGCCAACCCGGTTAGAGGAACGAGAAAGCCCGCCCCTGCGGCGTCGCCATTGGGTGGGAGAAGGTGAAGCGTGCTGGGAGGGGCTGGCGGAGGTGCCAGTCACTCCGCCCCCGACCCTGCTGTCAGGCGCCGTTGCGGGGAAGTGAGTACGTGAGGAGCGGCACAGCTGCAAGCCGGGGGGTTTGCAGGGCTCTGTGCACCAATAGGGCAGGGGCCCAAGGGCTGTTCTCCGGGGAGAGGAGGGGCTGATACAGGGCTACACCTTCCTCCCCCAGCCCGTCGTGCAAGCCGTGAACGGGCAGGGCGCTCAAGGGCCGGCCCCGCAAGCCCTTCCCCGCGGGCCAAGGGTAAGGCAGAGCGCCCGCCTGCACCCCGGCCCCCCGCCGTGCCGCTGCAGAGCTGGGCGCCGTGCCCCCGTCGAGCCGCCTCCCCCCCGGGCCAGCGCCCGCTTCTCCCCCCAGCCCTGCCAGCGCTGTTGGGACCTGCGCTTCCCCCCGCCGCCCCGGCAAGTTTCCACAAGCGTGACACATACGTCCCCCTCGCAAGGGGTTGCTTTTCCTCTACCTAAGCCCAGCAGGGACAGAAAGTACTTCTTAAAATTAAGATAAAAAGCTGCACAGCGCGGCTTTTCTAAGAGGTCTTCCCCGTTCCCCTCTAGCTGTGTTCCAGGGGCGCATACCCAGTAGCGCCTAAAGACAGGTTTCAGAGTAACAGCCCTTTTTCTCACTTCATCGGATGCATCCGGCGAAGCGAGCTGTAGCTCACGAAAGCTCATGCTCAAATAAATTGGTTCGTCTCTAAGGTGCCACAAGTCCTCCTTTTCTAGTAGCACCTCAGCATTCTTTTTCTGGCGAGGGTTGAAGAACTCACTCCGGCCCCTGTCCTCCCTGCCACAGTATCCTTTGCATCCCAGCTTAGTCTGGTCTACAATAAGAACAGTTTTGACTACATCTAAATTGCAGCAACACCTGGAGTGGGACTAGCAGGATATACTTCCCTCCCCCATGAATTTAACTTTAAACATTTATAATGACAGGTTTCAGAGTAACAGCCGTGTTAGTTTGTATTCGCAAAAAGAAAAGGAGTACTTGTGGCACCTTAGAGACTAACCAATTTATTTATAATGCAATTCAAAAAAGTTTGTGAAAACCTCGATTTATTTTCTGTCATACAACACTAATACAAATGCCCCACAGCAGTCTCCTCTTGCCCACAACTGATAAACCAGGTACTGTCTAGATAAACACATACTTACAGCAGGCAGTTAACACTTCCTCACCTGGGCAGCACTTACAGTAGCACCAATAATTGGTCTGGTCTCAGGCTGGTCAAAAGCCAGCACCTTTCCACCTGGTAATAGCATTTCCCCCTTGGCCTTGCAGATATTATGCAATACACAGCATGCAGCAACAGGAATGTTTTTTTTTTTTTTTTTGCTGAGACCAAGCATGGTCATGAGACATATGCACCTGCTCTTCAGTTTTCCAAACACGCTCCACACCCACCTTGCACCTGCCCCGGCAATACTTAAAGTCTTTCTTCTGTCCAGATACCCAGTCAATAACTTCATAAGCCAGGCAGGCAATGGGAAGTTGAGTTCCAGAGAATCACAACTGGCATTGCAATCTCATTATAGCATCGATAGGCTGGCCTGGGGAAGATGTCCCTACTTTCAGCTTGTCAAATGAAGGCCTATATTCCTACAAAAGAGCAGCCTTCTCTAACCAGCCAACTTTCATGTCAGTAAGTTACCCATGGGGAGACAGTGATTGCATATGCATGGAGAAGTCAGTCTTCAGTTTGTGTATTGAGAAGCAATGGGGTGTGTGAAAAGTTGGGGGAGAAGACAGACACCTGGGAGAAAATAGGGATATGTATCCCATATATCACCTTACCAGCTCTTTTCATTGAATCAATTTATTTCCTGCATGTTGTACAATATGACAATACTATGCAGCAGGATATACTTAGTCACCTTGCACACCTGCATAAGTGACCCCCCCCCATTGCAGATTTTCCAACACCAAACTGATTGTCCATAGCCCAACAGCAATTGCCACCCACTTCTCTACTGGCAGAGGCGCTCTCATCTTGGTGTCTGGGCACTGCAGGGTGAGCTTGGCACAGAACTCCAGAGCATGGCCTTGTGCATCCAAAAGTTCTGGAACCACTGCTGGTCATTCCAGATTTGGATCATGATCTAGTCCCACCCCTCTCCTCATTGTATAGACCCAAAGCCACCACTCCACTGTGTGCTCTCGGTCTGTGAATACCTGCAGCAGCTAGTCAGCTTCATTCGCAGTCTATCATCCATTCATCCTCAGTATCCCTGCTATATGTCCAACTACTGTGGTTCCACAAATAGAAGAGGATTACTGGCCCGGTCCCAAGATTTGTGCTCAATATATGTTTTAGCAACAAGATGGAAAAAATGTTGTGAAAAAGAACAGTACATTACTGGATGGAACAGACCTCAAAGTCTCAATTCCCTGAAAGCAATGGTAGCCCACAGTAGACAGCAGCACAATAAAGTGCCAGAGGGCAGTGCAGAGATATGAGGATGTCTATCCACAGTGCTACCAAAAAAAAAAAAAGTCTGTAGGTGATACAATCAGCTGCTGTGAGGACACTGCAGTGGCAAAGGCAGCCAGATATGAACACACACTGCCAAAATAGCTGTCAGTAACAGTATGCCAGCAAAGCTTTCTAGTCAAAACATTTGTTCTCCAAGATCCTTCTGCCCCTTGCAGGAACATCTGTACTGCTATTTTTAGCCCCACAGCCCAAGCCCCATGATCCTGAGTCAATTGACCTGGGCTCAGAGACTCTGAGAAAAATCCATGGTACAAACTATGATTTCCACCTGATTCGGGGTGCTCTGGCAATAAAGCACAGTTCAGGAATTTTGCCAGAGCTGCCTACAGTTTTCCTCCAGTGTCTTCAGAGGCCACAGCAGGCTCCCTCAACCATCTACCACCACATAGGTTGTTGTTGTTGGGTTGTTTTTTTTTTTTTTTTTTGGGGGGGGGGGGGGGGGAAGAGAGGAGAAGGAAGGTGCTAAATGAAGGTAGGAGCCTTAGGGAAGCTCCTCAAAGGCCAATGAATGGTATCTAATGGATTAGATGAAGCACTCTTCTTCACATTTCAACAGCCCTAAACTGCAGAATGTTAATTTTATTCTTTAAATGTAAGAGGAAGTTTTTCACATATACCTAGATCCTTCATATAAAGAAGTGTACATCTGCAGGAATATTTTGCACACGTGTGTCAAAGTCAATACACGATTGTACCAAGATAATGTTTTTCAATTATTATATAATCCTTTCTTGCTGATTCAACACAACAGCTTTCAAAGATATCAGTATTATTTTCCACAATCTCTTATTCTGTTACCTGAGAAAAATTGTGACAGAAGTAGAATTCTTAATGAAATCTGTATAATGAACCACCAATTCAATCCTCCAGAACTAGATGCATCTGAAAATCCATTTCCTTGTTCCCTTTAAACAAAAAAGTGTTAAGAGTACAAAGTTTTCTAAATTCAAATTAAATTTCTACCTTGTTCCTGCATTTATGCTATAGATCTAGGGTGGGATTTTCAAAGGAATCCCAATCTAGATTTTAATTAATCTCAATATTGAAATATTTTCACAATCTCAAAACCTAAAGAGAGACAGAGGCAAACATTTTAATCTGAAAAGATATTTATTTTGAGAACTTCAACTTGCACATTGTACAAAAATTGACAAATTCAGCAAAAACCTATTAAAAAGTTTTTCCTTAACATATTAACATTATAATTTTAAAAGGGTAAAAGTTAAAAAACAGGCATATTTGTTCCAGTCTGTGTGCAGTAAAATGTAATAAAAAAGTCCCTGGTATGCTGAGGTATTAAACTGCTAACTTTGGTACTGTTAGGAAAAGACATACTGTTCACAAAATTAAGGTTTCCTGGTCTCATGTACAATCATCATAAGATGTTCAATTAAAATTATTCAAAAAGCTTATCCTTCACTTCCAGGTAGAAATGCAGTGAAAAAGTAAATGCATGTTACGATAATACATCTAGCATCAGGAAAAAAACCTTAAAATTTGCAACTCCACACTAATGACATACAGCTACAGTGTTACTTTTACCCAAAAGAAATCCGGCTGGCAATTTAAACATTACAGTGCTTAAAAAAATTGGCAATTCAGACCCCTGTCTTTCCCATAAAGGACCAAAGGCACTTAAAAATGGCTTTAGTATGTTCTACTATGGCATTCTGGATAGAAGACAGCACCTGGCTGAACAAATAGTTCCCTAAGTAAGAGAAAAGTCCAACTGAGGTAGTAGTTCTTATTGCCCCAACTACTTGGCTAATGCATGAAGGCTTTTTGTGGACAAAACTGGTAGGGAATGGCTTTTAATAAAATTTGATACAAGCACAAGGGGAAAAAAGGTTACCAAAAAACGACCTGGGTCACAGGTCATAAGCCAGGAACCATCTTGTACAACTGGAGCATCAAAATGCTGCCTTGGAGATACCAGATCTACTTTTATGGCCAAATCCATAGACTTCATAAAGATTGTTCTAAGCAAATAAGCCATTTTCTGAATTAAAAAAAAAAAGGGAACATTGAGAACTGTGTCATGAACTTTAGCAGCCTTACCGGAAGCAGTTTGTAATTCCATTAAAAAAAACAAAACAAAAAAAAAAAACCTGTGCTGATGAACGGCAGGTTTCAGGGGGGAAAAGAAACGCAAAATCCAACATTTAAACAAAAATAAAATACCCACAAACATACAAAA